GGGTGGGGCACCCGGTGGTGGGGGCGGTGGGATGGAGGGGGTCGTGGGGGGACGGACGGGGGAAGGGGGCAGGGAGCCCCAGAGCTTTCCTGTGAATCACCCTCCCAGGTTTCTGGCCTGGGGGATGGGAGCATCAGGTTCCTGGATGTTGGAGAAATTACAGTGCAAACCGCCTGGCAGGGGGAAACCCTCTTTCTGTACTTTTATGTGAAGCATTGTGCTCGGAGGAGCAGGACTGAGAACGGGAAAGCGCTAGGCCTTTCCCGTTTTGGGGTGCCTGCCCTGGAGAAGTTGTCCCTAGCCATTCTGCCCCTTTTCTGTGCCTTGGGCCACGGGACATTCACCTGTTTGCTGTGTGTGCAGCACCAGATGGGCCTGTGGGCAGGAAATGGGGACCCTCGACCCGCAGGACATCCAGGTGGCCTTTAATTGCCACCCTCCACAGCAGTACCTTATTTGAACCACATATGTGTGGTACATTTTTAATAGGTATTCCCCATGGAAAGGATACAAATGTGAATTTTTAAAAAAATGGAATGAGATTCTATATAGCATGGAAATATAAACAAGAGTAAAATAACTGGGTGGGGAGTTAGGGATACAGGTGGCTTATTCATCACCTCCAGGCTTGTGCCTTCTGTCCCAGCCTGGGCACTGCCTGCCCCCTCCATTTCTAACTGGTGGTCTGTTGAGCATCTCTCTCCAGTGGAGAGCCGGCACTCAGAGCGTGTCTGATGAATGAATGAATGACTCAAATACAAGTCAGAGTGACAGTGCCCTGCTGGGATGCACACAAGAAGCGCATATGGATTCCAGGAAGAGGGGCTTCCAGAGGTGGGGGCTTCACGCTGACTCCTAAAGGGCAAATAGGAGGGAGCAGCATGAGAAGGGGCAGGAAGACCAAGGGCCTGATGTGGGGAGGAAGGAACTCCTCCCAGGCTGGGACACAGACCCGGATGGGGGACAGGTGGACTGGGAGCTGCAGTTATTTTGAATAGATGAAAAGCCCTTCACAGATTTTAAAGCACAGGAATGACAGTGTTCTTTGCAAATTTCATGATGAAGGCCTTGCGTCTTCCTACATGGGGTGGCAACTTGGCGGAAGACTGCCAGGGGACAGGCACTGTAACCCCCCCGCAAGTAACTCCCGCAAGTAACCAGAGCTGGGTCTCTGCCTCTCTCAGTCACAGTCAAACCCTCTCCTCCTCAGACCACCGTCACCCCTTCTTTTTGGCATAAGGAGGCTGAAGCACAGAGGGGCAGTGACTTGCCCAGCAGTGAGGGGCTGCTCCTGGGCAGGCCTTTCCTCTCTGCCCACAGCAGCCCCGGGATCTCCTGAGGAATCTGTCAGCTCCCCTTGAGGGTAGCGAGGGCAGCCCCAGGTCTCCCACACAGCAGCAAGAGCAGGGACAAGGGAAGCTCTCTGAGGTCAGTTGCGGCCCTGGAGCCCCAGGCGAGGGTGAAGGTGAGGGGACCCTGACACATTTCATCAAGGCTTGCTGAGCATCTGCCCTCCGAAGATCTGCAATTCAGTGTTCCCAGAAGGTATCTGAAGAGTTCATGGCCTGGAACATATCAACATCTCTAAAACTGTCCCAGGGGGTCACAGTTCACTCTACCAACGTAGGACTAAGGTCAGGGGCTGCCTGCTAATAACTCTAGGTGACGTGGGAACAGTGGATTCCTGGTTGAGCCACGGACAGTGGGGAGCAACTGGAAGCAGTGAGGACCATCGTTTCCCAGCATTTCCTAAACCAAGCTGGCAAGCTGGCAAGCACCATTGTGCATAGGTAATAACTCAGCCGGAAACAAATGTCATGATTCACGTGTCACAGCTAATGTCTAGCTAATATCCCCCAGCAGGGATGAGCAATTACAGATTCCTGAATTATCTTCCCTGTCTGTACCTCCAACAAACAACCAGTCATCTGTTTCCTTAGCTAACCTTTCCAGGGGGATGTGGCCAAAACGTTGAGAGAGAGCAGGCCTCTGAGTTGGAACCTGGCATGGCCACCCCCTGCTGTGCATGTTGGGCAATCTCCCGGGAGGGACCCATATCATAATTACTCTGTTTCTATAAGAATATACTTGTATCCTAGGGTTACTGTGAAAATTAAATGTGATTATGAATTTAAAGTTCCTTGCACATAGTAAGCATACAATAAATGTGAACTATTATTACTAACTGAAAATTAAACTCAAAATATTAGTTAGGATGTGGGCATTAATAGAGTATGCTTAGATTTCACCAATATGTTTAATTTTCCCAATTCTTCTGTTTCAGTCAGAGAGCCAAACCGAATCAGCACTTACACTTGCCAGCTCCTCTAGCCAAACGGGAAAGCTAAACTGAAACCGGACTGGCAAACACATCGTGTTCTTCAACGATTCCTCTTGCTGGCTCAGCACAGCTTCAGGTAAGCCCCAGACAGAAATGGGCCGTGGTATTCAGTATGTCACAGTGACAAAATCAACCCTTCCTACTTTTTCATAGACCGGCCTCTATGTACCCTTCAAATGCTAACGAGATGCCAAGAGATGTCTGGTCTCTCCCTGAGGTTTTATTTAGAAACAGAATGATTTGTGTTTAGCTTAAAAAGGGGAGCCGATGTGTTGCTTCTCCAGCTCCCTAACTCAAAGGCCATTGCCATCGGGGTCTGCCTGGGACCCTGGCATATCACCAGGCGGCCTGGGCAAGTTCTTTGCTAATGACTCTGGGTGGCATGGGAACCGTGGATTCCTGGTTGAGGACCTGGTGGTCCTCGGTTTCCACAGATGAGGAATATGAGTTAGACCTGAGCGCTTCTTTGTCTCTGATTTTAAATAATTTAATAGGGATAGAAACTCAGCCTCGGTAGCTTAAGTAAAGCGAGGCCCACTCTAAGTGCTGCCGAGATGGCTCAGGAATCCAGGTTTCCAGTAGACTGGTTCTCATGGGCGTGGGGCCAATGCAGGCCGGCCATGCGGTCCTTCCTGAACACCTCTCCGTTTCTGCTTGCATCTGCCCACATGTCCCTCTTCACCTCTCCGTTTCTCCTTGCATCTGCCCACATGTCCCTCTTCTCTCCCCAGGTTCCCGGTCATCAGCCACACCAGGCCCATCACAAGCTCCCAGGCCTCTCTCCACAAACTCTCGTTGAATCCCCGCTGAGTTTTTGCTTGCTGACTTCTAGAGAAAGGAATTGGACTGGCCTGGCTTGACTTATTCATCTTATCAAGCAGACCACACAGGTCCTAAGTTACCGGGCAGCCTGTGGACGGGCTCCCCCTTGATCATGTACCTGCAGGTGAGCCAGTCTGCTGTAGCCTAGCTCAGAGAGGGGATGGGGGACTGGCCCTTGGGTGTCAAGTGGTCTGAAACCCACGCAGAAAATAACCAGCAAGCAGTCCTGTGTTTGGACTCTTTCTGGCCCCCTCTGCCTCCTTCCCACATGCTGAAAGGATTTGGAAGCTTGGAAAAGCCTCTGCCACCTTGTCGTAATTGGACCAGCTGCATCAGGGCCTCCTCTACACAGGCTTTCCTGTTTTCTTTTACAGTTTTCCCTCGTCCGATCGGGCAGCAGCATCTGAAGACTGGAGCCCCTCGCTGCTCCTTCCCTTCCCAGCCAAGAGCCCTGTCCTCTCTGAGTCTCAGTCTTCCCGTTGATTGCTGGGTCTTTTGAAGTCCGTGCTTCCCAGGATGCTGGGCAGGACTGGGTGGGATCCAGGCTTTGAAAGCGTTGAGGAGCTTTGCTGGTCTGAGGTCATAATGGCAGCTCAGGTGAGTGACCCGAAGGCTCTGAGCTGCGAAGGTGGTGGGAGCGTCCTGAGGACACACATGGTGCTTCTCCCTTTCGATGGAGACCCCGCAGACCTGGCGTCCTGCCCGAGGGTCCCACTGTTTCTGTGGGGAAGGGGGAGCTGTGGTTAGGACCAGAATGTCGTATCTGCCAGTTTGAAGGTGGCTACGGCTACTTCTGTAGGAAAGACCCTTTGCCTGAGAACAAATGTTCTCCACATGTCCTCCGAGTTCTTTCTTTGGGAAAGCTGGCCTGAGCCCGGCCTCTGCTTCCTTCTCACTGAGTGAGGGAGGGGATACTCTCCAGAAGCTTCTGTGTCAGAGACCAGCCCCCTTCCCACCCCCCAAGGTGGGTCACTTCTCATGGACCCCTGTGGCTCTTGGCCACTCTGTTAAGCTGGCGACAACTCAGGCCTGGCAGGGCAACGAGAGACTCTTTGATTCAGGACAGCCTGGCGAGTGGAGGCCAGGAGCAGGCGTTAAGGATTCCCTGTCCAGGGCCATGGTCAATGCATGCCCAAGCTGACTCCTACGGAGAACAGAAGGGGTGTGGGAGACAGAAGACGCACCTGGACACACACTCTGAAGCAGCCTTTGCATTCAGGGACAGCAGTTATGGTCCCTTCCTGCTGGCGAGCTCCAACACCATCCTCAACCATGTGGGCAACCGTGGGTCTCCTTGGGCGCCCGGCTCCACGTGAGAATGCAAGGGGCCCACTGGTGGCTGGGCAACTCCTGCCGATGCTTCTGAACCAGGATGACTGGTTTCCAGAGCCTGTGTCCCGCATGGGCGCTGTGCCCAACCTTACAGCTCACAGGAGAGAGATGGGAAAGTGCCAGAATGGGGGTGGCTGTGTCCAGAAGGACTCGGAGGGGCAGAAAGACAGAGTGTGCTGTGAGCAGGACTGTGGCTACCTGCTTCCCTCCCTGCCTTCTTCCTTCCTTCTAGTTTCCCTCCCTTCCCTCCTTTCCTTCCACCCGCAAACGTTCACCAAGAATCAGTTACATGCCATTAGCTGATGAAGATGCTTTGGTCCTTCTAATCTTCTCAAGGCTTTCAAACCATTCATTTCAAACAAGAAGACATGCAATGACAATACAGCAGTGATTCTCAGACATTAGCCAGCATCGGACCCACCCGAGGGCTAGCTGAAACACTGCTTGCTGGGCCCCAACCAGGGTTTCTGACTCAGGGAAGTGTACAGGGCCTGAGAATTTACATTTCTAATGCCTTCCCAGGACTGCTGCTGGTCCAGGGACCACGGGGCACAGTAAGCCCAGTGCAGGAGCAACTGTCACACCGGCTAGGAGTGGGGGAGGGAGTCAGAGCAGGCTGGGGACCCCAAGCTGAATCCCAGGGGCTGGGAAAGAGAGAGGTGAAGGGGACAGGCAGTGCAGCATGTGTAAAAGCCCTGTGGTGAGAGATTCAGATGGAGGACATGGAAGCCAGCCGGTGTGGCTGAGTAGAGGATGGGGTGGGTGGATGGCAAGGGAAGAGGAGAGGCTGCCCGACTCCACAGAGATCTCTAGGGAAAAACCAAACGGGGGGTGGGACAGCAGGTCAGGTTTATGTTTGAGGACAGGTGCTCTGGCTGCTGGGTAGAGAACAAGGGAGGCGAGAAAAATCATTAGGAAGCCATGGCAATGATCCAGGCAAGACATGCTGCGGCCAGAGCAGGGCGGTGGCCATGGGAGGCGGAGAAGATGGAGCTGACATAGACCTGGGAGGTGGGGCAGACAGGACGTGAGTGCAGGTGTCGGGTGAGGGGAGAGGGGATCTGTGTGGAATGGGACATCATGGTGTATGGGGCCAGAAGCATCAAACACAACCTCATGCACACTAGCTGGTCAGCCCAGGTTCCGAGGACAGGGGTTCACCTAGGACATGCTGGCTGGGCCCCTCACCTGAGGAGGGGAATTAATGATAAGCGTACTAGAGCATCGTAGGTCATGTGAAGCCAGGAATCTGGCCCGTGGTCAGGAAATGTCGAGAGAAGAAGGTACTGCCTCTTACCGCCTTCTGCTTCCTTCCCTCCATTTGCAGATCAGATCCCTCCCTTCTTTCTCTACCCGGGGGATCCAGCTGCCCCACTGTCACCTGAAGATATTATGCTGAACTGTAGGTTCAAGGCCCTGCAGGAGAGAATTTGATTGGTCTACCTTGGGTGGGGTGGCCAGATTAGCAAATAAAAATAAGGATGCCTAAATATCACATGGCAGCATACTAAGGCTAAAAAATGATCCGTTGTTCATCTGCCCTGGAGGCTGTGGGTATGCGGGAGGCCTAGCCTGAGTGCTGGCATCTCAGGAGGAGGACGCAGCCCACACCGGTGAGGCCGGGAGCAGGGAGCTCTTAGAAATCCTGGCCGCAGGCCCCCAGACCCAGGCTCAGGGCAGAACTCAAAAATCCCCGAGGAGGAAGGGTGCAAAGGAGGGCGTGAGTGCAGGTGGTGGGTGGTGACCAGGCAGGTCACAGGTGCAGGCCAGGTCCAGGTTCAGGTCCAGGGACCCAGACAGGTCCGCTTGCTGGGCTGGGCACAGGCGGCGGCAGGCATGAGGACGTGCTGTGCTGTCTGTCTGCCTCCCCACAGCTGCTCGGTGTAGGAAGAGCGCTGCTCCTGTGCATCCTGGAGCAGCGCCCAGCTCTGAGCAGGGCCCGTTTGTGTTTGCTGCCTAAATAAATTGGACTCAAGCCCAGTTCCCTGCACTGGGCTGGGACGTCAGGGCCAGATCTCATGGCAAAGCCCAGAACGAGGGCCTGAAGCTTCAGACATCCCTCCTGCCTTAGGACAGCACAGGTCCAGGTCCTGGAGTCCAGGACAGGGTGGAGCTGGGAGTGGGGGTGTCCCCGTCACAGCTCCTTTAGAGGAGGGCTGTGGTGGCCAGGGAGCCAGGGAAGCCTGCATCCCCCTCTCCCCCCCACCCTCCACCAAGAGGGCCTTGGAGACTTCTCACATTTACAGATGGGAGGGCAAGCCACTCGCGAAAGATCATAACTAGAACCCTTAGACTTTTGGAGTCTCTGACCAGTGGCTTTCCTGAAATACTGGGCTACAAAATGGTATTTGCACAAACTAGGGAGATTTCATCTCAGAATTCATTAGCAAGTTGTTTGAGGTGGTGAAACGCTTCTGTCCGGTGAGGTGCATGGCCTGGGTGTGGGTGAACCTCGGCGTGCGCTTGGGCCCACTGTCCCAAGCAGACTGGCAGTTTCCATTTGCTATTTATCCATTTTCTGTTGCATGTGTGGGATCGGAGAGCACAGATCATGAAAGACTCATCTCTTAAAGAACTTCGCCAGGAAGGAAATGCAGAAAATCAAGACTTGGAATCAGAAATAAATACAAATGGCACCAGCAGAAAGAAGGCAGGGGAGAACACACACGCATACACGCCCACACGGACATGCACACGCAACAGAAAGCTGCCCTGCTGGGGAAGGCGTGGTGGCCTGCCCCCTGTGTATCAGAGGCCCTCAGGCGGTCCCAAAGCTACGGAAGTGATTCCCCACCGCTCCACACTGAGAAGACTTTCCGTCTTAACATCTACAAGGCTCGCGGTGTGGACATCTGCGATGAACCGTCAGTTGTTTCATTTTGTCAGGATTATGAGGTTTGGTTTTTTTTTTCCATTTTCCAAATTTTCTTACACCTGGTTACATTTGTAATGGGATAAATTTCCCCCTATTTTTTAAGAGCAAAAATCCAAGATGAGGACACATTTCAACCATTTCATGAGTGATTTTTCAGGTAGCAAACAAAGGGAGAGTGCATGGGAAGGGGACACGGTGATGCCTCCGAGATAAGACCCCACAGGGATTTCCCACTGGAGGAAACGTGGTTGATCTGGCCAACCTCAATTCTGCTTCACAGTTACTGTTCATGGATTGATCATTAGCATTAAAGACATAATTTTGGATTAGGGGTTCCAACAATGGTATGGAAATTGCAAGGCTCCTCAATATTAGTCATTCTTCTACCAAAAAGGTATATTTTATTTTATTTTTTAAAATCTTTTATTAAGGTATTATTGATATACACTCTTATTAAGGTTTCACATGAAAAAACAATGTGGTTACTACATTCAGCCATATTATCAAGTCCCCACCCCACACCCCAATGCAGTCGCTGTCCATCAGTGCAGCAAGGTGCCACAGATCCACTATGTGCCTTCTCTGTGCTACAGTGTTTTCCCCACGATCCCCCACACCATGTGTCCTAAACATAATACCCCTCAGTCCCCTTCTCCCTCCCCTACCCCTCCCCTTTGGGAACCACTAGTCCTTTCTTGGAGTCTGTGAGTCTGCTGCTGTTTTGTTCCTTCAGTTTTGCTTCATTGTTATACTCCTCAAATGAGGGCAAAAAGGTATATTTTAATGCAGGTAAAGTAGGTTATTGTTGAAACAATTCTGAGCCTGGCCTGTGATAAAACAGGGCTCACTAACTCTCTCTGAGTGGCTTTGATTTCCTATAATCAATCTGCTGGGTTTCTAAAAACTTCCAAGTAAAAAAAATCAATAAAATCTACTCATCAGTGAAATGCAGAGTTAAAGGAGAAGTTGAGAATGGCAGGAACGTACTTTCTGGGTTCATTTTTCTCAAGACAAAACCAGCGGCAGTTCAGGGATGGATGCTTAGCGTCTGGGCTCTGCTGGTTGGGAGAGGTGGCCTTGCCATGGGCCTGAAGCATGGACTTCCCCAAGGACCCACTGCCTGTAGGCCTGGGTGAACTGGCTGCTGAGCTGTGCAAACCCAGACCTGGGCAGGGGTGAAGGTGGAAAGAGCACTGGCCTGGGTGTCACCCAAGTGACAGGCTAATTTAGCCCGTGTGATCTGGTTACCTCCACTGTTGCTACACGACAGGGTGGCTGAGAGCTTATGATAAGTGACAGCCAGGGCCCGCCCTGGACCGTGACCTCAAACAGCGCTCATTGTTATTGTCAGTGTTGGATTATAATTGGCCTTAGGATCTCAAAGACAGGCTGGACAGCATGGCAAACAACTGCACATGGGAGGAGTCGGAAATCCACGTGTTCTGCTGACGCTGCTCAGGAGGCTGGAATCCAGCTTGCAGGTGGCCCAAAGCCTGGGGAGGCGATCGGGCTCCAGAGGGAGCTCACGGAGCAGCACGATGGACCGACTCACCAGGCTGGAGGGAAGCAGGGTCAGCCCGCGCCTGGGCGCCAGACACCCACCCAAACTGGGTGGCACAGGAAGCTGGGAGGTTCAGCGCTTTGCAGTTCTGGGTGACAGAGAAGTACCAGTGTGAGGGGGTCACTCCCCTACCCTGCAGGGCTCTATCCCCAGGCAGGCAGCTCACAGCCACTGAGTGCGCGCAGTGCCAGCAGCGTTTCCTGGGCCACCTCATGCAGTCCCATGAGGACTATTCTTTACATGGGAGAAAATAGGAGAAATTGTGTCACTTGTGCAAATTTACTCAGCTGTGTCATGAGCCAAGGTTCCAGCCCAGATGCATGGGAGTCCGTGGACCCAGGTCAGCATTTACACTCAGCTGCACGTGGATCAGTGCCCCAAAACAAGGGCCCCCTGTCCTTGCCGGGAGTGCTGAGGGCCGCTCTGCCCACATTGCGTGCAGGCGGTGCCCACGTCCTGTGCAGGCGGCTGAGCCCTCTCTCCGCATCCACTGAGATGATTTGGTCTCTTGAACCTGATCATTAAGCTACTGTTTACTATTGCTGCTCTAACAAATCACCACAAACTTAGTGGCTTTAGACAACACATACCTGTTATCTCACCATTCTGGAGGTCAGAAATCTTAAAAATCATGGCGTGGGCAGGGCTGCTTCCTCCTAGAGGCTGTAGGGGAGAATCTGTAGCCTCTTCTTTTCCAGCTTCTACCAGCTGCCCAAGTTCCTTAGAAATCCACTCCCTCTGTCTTCAAAGCCAGCCAGTGGTGGTGCAGCTTCTAATCTCTGTCTCTCGTCCGTAACACGCTCACAGGTTCCTCGGGAGGAGGGGGCATTATGCAGCCCCGAGCAGGTACACCAGCACATTTTCTCACGTTAAACCATTCTTGCATTCCTGAGATAAATACTACCTAGTCTTGATGCCGTTATTTTTATTTCAAATAATTGCTTCATTCAGTTTGCTGATATTTTCATCAGTATCTTGATGTCCCACTTTACAAGTGAGATTTTTTTTCTTTGTCCAACATATATTTTAATGATGTGTCAGGCACTGTTCCAGGAGCTTGGGATTCATCACGGAACAAGATGGACAACGCCCTTGCTTTGTGGAGTTTACATTCCCGAAGGGGAGACAATGATAAAGAAAGGAGAAGTGTTTACTGTACTAGGTGTCTTAGTCAGCTCCGGCTGCCATAACAAAATACCACAGATGGGGAGGCTTAAGCAATAGACATTGTTTTTCTCACAGTTCTGGAAGCTGGGAAGTCCAGGATCAAGGCAGATTTGGTTGCTGGTGAGAATTCTTTTCCTGGCTTCTCGCTGTGTGCTCACATGGTGGGGAGAGGTTAAGGGGGAGTGGGGGTGTTGAGAGAGAGAGAGAGAGAGAGATTAACCTCCAACTGTAACATTGGAGGTTAGAGCTTCAATACGAATTGTGCAGGGGGAGTGACCACTCAGTCCACAGTACTAAACATTGTATACACAATGCAGAGAAGTCATCAGGGTTAGAGAAGCCACTGGCAGAGGATATATGAGCAGAGGTGAGTGAAGGTGGGGGAGGTGAACTGTGGATATGGGGAGAAGACTGGTACCCATAGAAGGAACAGCCAGTGCAAAGGCCCTGTGGTAGGAGTGTTCTCTATGTGCTGAGGACAGCATGGGGGCAAGGTGGAGGAAGGCAGAGTGGTGACTGGGGCCAAAGTCCCTAGTGGTGGTACAATCCAACTTATGCTGGGGTGGGGGAGGGGGGAGGGGTGTGTGGTTAGCCAGGAGGGTTCTTCAGAAGATTGCCCAATTTTTTTCTTTCACCCTGGGCGGCACAGAATGAACTCTGAGGAGCAAGAATAGCAGCGGGGGGTTGGGGGGCACAGGGGGGGGCATTGGCCAGGAGGGCTCTTCAGAAGATTGGTCAATTCTTTTTCTTTTTCTCAATGTTCTTATCTGGTTTTGATATTAATGTGATGCTGGCTTCATAAAATGAGTGGGGAACTTTTCCTTTATTTACTAATTTACATATTTTGGAGGGAGAATGGCTTCTATCAGTGAGAGATAATCTGCTTATTATTTGAAGGTTTGGTAAAATTCATCTGTCAACATGCTGGATCAGAGGCCTTCTATGCAAGATTTTTGACTCTGATTCCACTTATTTAATAGCTCCATTCTGATTTTCTGTTTTCTCTAAATACACTGTAACTCATGTTTCAAGGAAATTACTTATTTTCACTCAAGTTTTCAAATGTGGTGGCGTGATGGATACTGTTTCACATCAAATTGTTCTTTTCATTTTAAAAATCTTAATTGTCGTTAGAATTGCATTCTCCTTTGCCTGCCTAGGTGTGCATTGTGCTGCCTTCTTTTCTTTCTTTCACTCAATCTTGCCGGACGTTTATCTGTTTACATTCGTCTCTTGAAAAATGGACATTGATTTTGTAGAGCTTGTCTCTGGTTTTGTTGATGTCTTGCCCGCTGTGTGATGTGGTTCTGCTCTGTGACTAGCCTGCTGTTCTTGTTCTAATTGGTTGAGTTAAGCCTGTTTATCAATTTTTAATCTTTCTCTTTTCTAATATCTACATGTAAAGTGCTGACTTCCCTCGAAGTAATTATTTAGCAAAACACATAGATGTGGATATTTTGGGTTGAGTTGTGTTTTTAAGTTTCTAAAAATATGGGTTTGGGGAAATGCTTTTGGGGTACTTGATCAGTTTCTGAGAGAGGCGTGCCTGCTCTAATGTCAGCTTATCAGTCCCTCTGATCTTCTCAAGCGCCTTAACAGATTTCAGAGCTGTCGACAAGTGTGTAAGAGCTCAGGTTTAAACTTTTCATCAATATAAAGCATCCCTCCTGCCCCCTTTAATGATTTTCACCGTGAATTCAATTTTGTTTGGTAATAATTTTACCTCACCTGCTTCCTTTTTGCCATCACTTAGTGAGAACATCTTTTTTTTTAACCTTTACTTTCAACCTTTCCTGGTTGAAATGTGTACCCCGTAAATAGCCTATTGCTCTACTTATTTGAGAAGACTGTTGGCTGGTATAGGTGTGGAAACCAGAGGTTTAACATGTAGTTCCTGTGGGCTAAAGGGAGGTGAGTCCCCTTCCCCAGCTAACCCAGGTGGTAGTCCGGCTCTCCTGCCCCGCGGAGGTCAGATTACTGGGACTCGGCCACGGGACGCGCGCTGCCTCCTCCAAACCCCTCTCTCAACACTTGCTTGTATCTGCCCCACTTCAAAGACCACACCTTTTTTTATTTTTCCAATTTGGGAGAATTTTATGTTAACATAAAATTAACGATCTTAAAGCTAACAATTCAGTGGTATTTAACACACAGTGGTGTGCAACTCCCACCTCTAACTCCAAAATATTTTCATCACCCCATGTGCCCAAGAGCCAGCCACTCACCCTTTCCCCTCCTCTATCCCCTGGCAAGCATGGCTCTGCACCTTTTCCCTCGTTTTCCTTGTTCTGGATATTTCATGTAAATGGAATCATGCAATATGAGGCCTCTGTGTCCAGCTTCTTGGGCTTAGTATTGTGGTTTTGAGGTTCCCCCATGTCGTAGCATGTAAAGACCCACATCTTTACTGATTTCCAGAACACGCACACACACACAGGCATTTTATGCCTCTGGGAACCTCACTGAGCATTTGGTGTGTGCGTTTGGGGCGTTCTCACCTCAGAACAGGTGCTCTCTGCTGGCTCCAGCCCACATGCCCCTCTGCCCCTCCATTTCCCTGTAGAACTAATACCTTCCTCCTCATCCACGGGACACATTCGCACTCACCTGGAAGCCCTTCCTAACCAGCTCCCTCTCCCAAGTATTCCTCAAGGATCTGCACCTGAAGAGCTCATTTTCCCCCTGGGTGCTGTTTTCTTTCCTCCATGGGGAGAGGACAGAGTGAGCGTGAGGGAAAGGAGCTGCCAGGACTTTTTAGCTGTTAGAGGAGCCTCGGGAGAGCTACTGTGAGATTCCATGGCCTGGTTTTCCCCGGACTGTCCCAACGTGTGGCTGTGGTCGCCCTTTCTGCAACGCACCCTGCTTGGGAGGATAAATTACATGGTCATCAGCAACAAGGGAGTCTGTATATTTCTGATTCAATTACAACCAATCTAAGGGGAGAAACCTCCGCTTTGCAGGGGCCATAGTCAGCCCTGGACAGGAGATGAAGGGGAGGTGAGCAGACACCAGCGGTGTCTGGTCAGGTGCATCTGAGGAAGGAGAGGTCAGCCCAACCAGGCAAAAGGCGAAATAAACGTCTTCTGATGATGACTTAGTATCACGTTTAGTTTGACCCCTGAAAGAGAACATGCCAAACGTGGACACAACTATTTCTGCTCACAGGTAAGTTAAATTCTTTGTTGTAACTAATCCTGTGTCCCCTAAGCAATCTGCCATTTTTTTTGTATTGTGGGAAAATATATATAACATAATGTTTACCATTTCAACCATTTTTAAGTGTATGATTTAGTGCATGGAGTACATTTGCAGTGTTGTGTGACATCACCACCATCCATGTCCAGAACTTTCTCATTGTCCTCAAAAGAAATTCTGTCCCTGTTAAACACTGACTCCCCCACCCCCTCCAGAGAGCCTCTATTCTCTTTCTGTCTCTATGAATCTGTCTGCTCTAGGGACTTCCTCTAAGTAGAATCATACAGTATTTGTCTTTTTGTGTATCTATTCATTTTCTAATTTTTTTCTGTTCATCATCAAGGCATTTAGTAGTTGCTAACCTCACAAGATACTGTGATGGGTGCACCTTCTAAGAACTTTCTGATGCATTAGCTTGATTTAGCCTCAATAACAATTCCATAAGGCAAATGCAGGACCATTACCCTAATGAGGCTCCAGTCCGGTGAAGGGACCTGTGTTGTCTAGATTCACACAACAAATGGCCAAATCAGTATGAGAAGCCCAGTTTATAGACTTTATTGTCTTTTTCTGGAGTATAGCAACTTCTCAGAAGTTGGGTATGATTTCTTTCCTCTGGAATCTAAACTTAAAGCTCAAGTAACTCAATTTTGTCCAAGCAAAGAGAAAATCATGTTGACTTTGTGAGCAGGTACTTAGGGGAGAGTCATTGTGTGATGGTCAGACTCACTGGGGCCCAGAGTGGCAGGGGTGCCTCTGTCTGTTTGCACGGAAGGGTCTTAATCTGCCACCCTGGGCTTCCCACTCCTCAAGTCTGCTGTCTTTACCAGGGTTTTCTCCTCCCCCAGGAGGGTTTAGGATGTACGAGAAAGGCTCCTCCAAAAAAGTTGGGCATTTCTCCAGGAGCCAGAGAAATCAACCAGGCTGGAACACAATTCCTCAGACAGGCTGGAAAACAATTTTGTTTTTCCAAGCTCTGAAATAATCAAGATCTCACTGTGTACATGTTTGCAAACAAGAAGGAACAATAAGCGCATTCAACACGTAGAGTTCTATTTGCAGTTCTATGGTGCAGGCCAGTCATTTGTTAGGACTTGATTATAGCTGTCACTTTGCGACAAAACTGGTGAGCCTGGGCCCTGGTCAGAAATGCAAGCTGGCTGTCTTGTGAATGCAGAGGCCCACCTTTCCCTGTTGAGCGCTAGATTCTCACGGAGATGGAGGAGGTCGGCTTAAACAGTGGAAAGTTTCAACAGCAGAGTAAACAAGACCACCATGAATTGATCCTCTGAGTTTGAGGGATTTTTCGCTTTAATGTGGCAGCTCCGAGCACATGCCTGGGTATTCTACCTACACTTAACAACGTTAAGACTAAGATTTGCTTTGATGCAAGAACACTAATTTTCTATTGACTCAAGGAAATCAGTGTAGGGACACCCGTGGCCAACACAGGTTTTGTCGGTGAGATTCCCCAGCCATCACTTGTCCCTTGCAGGAGTGATCTTCCCAGTAAATCCATGTGGTCTGGGGCCCTCGCCTCTGGGCCCTGCTGCCACCCAGTTACAACAGGCAGAACTAACTGGAAAGGTCTGGGGGAATTTTGGGACTAGGATCTCTGACGAAAAACCAACCATATACAATTTCTCAAACTTCCACCCCGCGCCGCCTGAATCTTTCCTGCCGTTGATAATCCTGTTACTGGAGTATAGTAATGAAAATAGTATGAATGCCATCAAACACTCCCCAAGTGGATCCCTTAGGCCAGGCACGATCCTAAACATTTCACCTTTAGGAACTAAACTTTTAGTCCTCACAGTTCCAAATGGGATGGTTTCTGTCTTTATTGTTCATGTTTTACAAGTAAAGACACAAGACACAGAGAAGGTACCCACTCATCTGCCTGGAGCCTCACAGGCAGGTGTTGG